GCCCTTAGAGCGGTAGCGAAAACAGCTGATACCATTTCGTCGCACTTATAAGTGAGGTGACCATATTTTGAAAAACGAAACCATTTTTAGAAATGATGAAATGATAACAAATATAATACAAGGGGGAATTATTATAAATTATTTTATTTTAAGCCAGATTTAACGAATCGTTCACTGTATTTTTCAACCATCAAAAGTAATTCGTGTTACATGCTGTTTTCTTCTAAATCTTTGAAAGTAAAAAAACATACGGCCACCTTTGGCATGTACTGCCGCCATCGCCCAGCAGAGCGATAGAAATAAATCTATCGCCACGAAACGCCGCCCTGCGAACTTCGCATTTCGCTTTGGCTGTGTTCAATTTCATATGCCGGCGGGTGTTCTAATTTGGACAGCGGTAATTTCGCTGTGGTGAGTTGTGTTTCCACGGCAAAGTAAACAAACTGGAGATTAATAGTTAGAGCCAATTTACACGATGACTTTTCAGCCTGGGTGGATAGCGATTGTCGCTAACTGGTTACAGAATCTCCCGCCAGGTCCTGTTCTTCTCCGATCTTTTGAAGGTGTCGTGCAATTGACTGGATCCTATTTATCTATAGTATAGAGTCTATACACACATATCCTATCCACATAAACAAAATGTATATAGTAACAAAAAGTCAGTACTCATTTGTACTGGAACCTGCAAATTTTTACTGAAGTGTGTGAAGTGTATAATAACTAATGTGACCAACTATTTCATAGCTCAAAGAAGTACAGCTTAGGTTGGGTTAAGTTAACGCCGCGAGCCGATTACGGAGTTTTGAATGCGGCTAATTTCGATCCCTGAGAGCTCAGTGTTTGTTCAGGAGTGTGAGCCAAAATGCTTCCAACTTAGCCTCGCGATGGTTGGACAGTCTAAAAGAAAGTGTAGAGATTCCATTTCATCTTCCTCTTGGAAGCTGATACGAAAGGATCAGTTGAATATCCTAGTCTCACCGCATAAATACCAATCGCACAATAGGCTGTCAGAACCCCCATCACTAGCCCTTGAGAGGTAACGTGTTTTAAAGTGCCCTAGCTCCCCTGCAGCAGTACAAGGCAACCGACACCTTTCCAACCCTTTCCTCAATGTTAGGCTTCCACGACAGCCGCCGTTAATCGCCTACCTAGTTACCTGGTTCAGGTAACCTTGAGCCAGATCAAAAAGGGTGTATAGAAATCGTACCTTAACCAAAGGTTCCACTTTTTCCAGTTCCTGTAGAAGGTCGTTTACAACCGCAATCCAGAGCAAGGGAGAGAGAACCCCAACTTGTGGAGTGCTCCTATTGACACTGCAGACGCTCCCCTACTCCTCCGCGACAGTTCTGTCACCAAGTATGCTATAGATAAGCCTTATTAGGTTGGTTTCTACCCCCGATTATGAATATACTTTACTATTGCCTCTGTAGTGACATTGTTGAAGGCCCCCTCGATATCGAAGGAGGCCTCTACTGCGTAATCTTCATGCGTGAAGGCTTCCTCTGACCACTTTACCAATGTGTGCAGGGCGGTCTTCACCGACCTTTTCTTGCAATAAGCATATTGAGCTCTTGAAAGACAGCCACGAGGAATCGCGTTTATGTCTATCAGTCTCTCTAGCGTTTTATAGCAAAAGCGTGTTTAGCAAAAGCGAAGACACTGGTAGGCCTAAAATCCCTAGGAGAAACATGAGAGCCTTCTCCAGCCTTCGGGATGAACGCAACACTGACTACCCTCCAAGCATTGGTAATGTACCCGGTCCTCACGCAGTTCGC